GATTTACAAAATTTTACAAGCACAAATTTAAAATAAAATATATAAAATTGAAAACTATAGACTAACTAAAAGTATATCAATAAAGTAGATTATAATTAACTTTAACTATATAAGCATGTTCTAATGTTTCACAAGGGCAACATTGCAAGAAAAATAGTACAAAGACTTAATTATATCATGCAAGAAACCAAAATTAGAAGGGCAAGGTAACAAATCAAAAACACAAAATAGTCTAATTAAATTCATATTCGAAAAAGAAAAAAAAAAAAAGACTTTTAGAAACAATCATGAATATGCAGTAGCAATCATGCACCTACCAATCTCAAACGATACAAAAGCATCAACACAAGCATATTGCACTTGATCATTATCAAGACACTCATTATCCCATCTCCCAATAGCAACATGCTTAGGTTTTTCCATCTCTTTTCCTAAAACAGCTTGACAAAGCCTCTTCAATCCAGCATTCCTCAAACTACAATCAGCCAATTCCCTCAGATCAACGCTATTATTTACGCGTAACGTATAGTCTTCCTCTAGCTTCTCAATATCGTTAGCAATTCCAACACCAACAAAGGCATAACGAGGATTCAACAAAAACTCCTTCAGCGATTCAGGTATATATTCACAATAAATTACTTGAAATATGAGGCCACGACGACCAACACAAAGTTGTAGAGTTGCAACAGGGTTGTTTTGGTGCCTAGTGAAATTAGGTCTCCATTCTACATCGAGGCCTACTATGAGTCGATTGAGACGACTTCGATGGACATACTCGATTCCACTGATCCAGTTAGTTACTACGTCTGGATTTGAAGTCACTGTCGTTAAGATTCGGTCACTAAAAAAAAACACATCATAGAGTTTATAACGATTGTCTTCAACTTCAATGGGGAACGCCATGATTTTATTTTTTTTTTATAACAAAAGTTTAATTGTAATGTGAATTTATAGGGTAAAGTATTACGTTTCCAACTAGGAAAATAACTTGTATAAAAAATTTTCCCTTTTCCATAAGAAGTTGATATAAATTCAATATGTATTAATTAAGTACTCCTAGATGGAAAGTTACATTTTTTTGGTAATTATTATCAAATACAAATACAAACTATTTTTTGTTTATCAGATTGGGAAATCAAACTTATTTAGGACATGAGAATTCCTAAAAATTCAAGTGTTTATCTAACAATCTTACTTTACACATTTTTATCGAGATTTAGTTGTAATTTGTCTTGTATATAGATAATAATTGTGTAAAAAAGAATGAAGGATGGTTTATAGTGATATCAAAGGTGAAAAACGCATAAAAATTTAACGATGCAACTAAAGCGCGAGTTAACAATGAAAAGCGCAAGTCTCACTTCTTCCATATTTACACTCATATATTACAAGGAAAAATAATCCTTCAGTCATCTCTAATCCACTTTTATTTTACCCTCCATTCTCTATATTTTGAGGGTAAAAAATAGAGAATGGGCACTCTAACCTACCTCTTAATTACCCTCTATTCTCTATTTATATAGAACTGAATAGTGATTCTCCAAATTTGGAGAACTACTATTCACACTCTCTGTTTCACTTTTTTATTATTATATTATTATTTCTATTACTTTTTAATTAACATATTATTTTATGTATAATTCCATTAATTAAATATCCAATATTCATAATTCTTTTTTAAATGTAATATAATATTTTAAGAAATATTTTTTACACTATACTACTTCAATTTCAAATTTAATAGTATTTTTATTTTTATTCTATTTTTCATCAATAATAAAATAAAATTTTATTATATATTTTCATTTTAAAGAAAACAAAATATTAAAATCGCAAGATGAAAATTTTAATTTTAAAATACAATACATGATATGATAATTTAAATACTAGACAACAATACAATACATAACATAATAATTTAAATACAAGATAAAAATACAATGCATAACATAATAATTTAAAGACAAGATAAAAATACAATACATAGCATAATAATATAAAGACAAGATAAAATACAATACAATACATAATGATTAATTGATCATAATTGTAACGACCTGTTTAGTCGTTTGGAGCAGCAGAGTTAATTTCTGAAAATCACTGTCTGGGTCGACGGATCCCACGACGGACCGTCATGGGCACGACGGACCGTCATGGGCACGACGGACCGTCGAGGGTGTCTCGTTCCAAAACACTTAGAATTTAGAAATTTGGGTACTGAGATCGACTCTCTGAACTTCACGACGAAATGGCAGGACGGACCGTTGAGGGCCCGACGGACCGTCACAAATCCTTCCGCAGAATTAACTCTCTGAACCTTGTGACGGACGTGCAGGACGGACCGTCACAGTTGTGACGGAACGTCACAGGCTGCGTGACCCTGACTGGGTCGGATTTCTGTTAAATATTTTAAGGGGCGTTTTGGACTATTCCTGCTTATAATCATAAAGTTAGTGGTTTAATGTTAATAATTTAATTACTTGGGGGTTAAAAGAGAGAACCTTGAAACAAGTAGTGGGGTATTTTATCATCTTTTATACTTAATTATATGCTAATTAGGGTAAAAGAAAGAGGGTTTGAATAAGAAAAAGAAAAAGAAAAAGAACAGAGAGAGAGGGAGAAACGATCGATTGAGAGAGAGGAAGAACACAGCTTTGGGAAAGTAGATTGCTTGATCACAATTCTTCGGTGGAGGTAGGTTATGGTTTATGCTATTTCATAGTAAACTCTTAATAGCGAATGATATGTATTGGGTAGTAATGTAAAGTCTCCTATATTGCTTAATTGTGTGTATGTATGATATGATTACATAATTGTGATGAATTAGTATGATGAGGCTGTTGAATCTTAAACCCTAAAATCTTTTTGTTAATAATGATGCCTTGGTATAAAAGAAGGCTTGATGAACTAAAAGATTGAGAATAGTAGATGGATCGGGTGTCACGTTCCGACACCAGGATAGTATATGGATCGGGTGTCACGTTCCGGCACCAGGATAGTATATGGATCGGAGTGTCACGCTCCGACACCAGGATAGTAATGGATCGAGTGTCACGTTCCGGCACCAGGATAGTATATAGATCGGAGTGTCACGTTTCAACACCAGGATAGTAATGGATCGGGTGTCACGTTCCGGCACCAGGATAGTATATTGATTGGAGTGTCATGTTCCGACACCAGGATAGTAATGAATCGGGTGTCACGTTCCGACACCAGGATAGTATATGGATCGGAGTATCACGTTCCGACACCAGGATAGTATATGGATCGGAGTGTCACATTTCGACTATCC